ACAAACGTCGAGCGAAACTGCTCTCGCCGACGCATTGCAAACCAAACCCGGACCAACATCATTACGGCACCAAAGATAGCCCATATTTAAACAAATTACTCTAGCTATCGCTGTACGTAAATCGATCTCGTCAGTTTCGCACTCACCAGCACTCACAACCTTCACAAAGTTAGGCGTTCACATCTAATAATGGTGGTAGGTAATTTTAACACCGAAGTAAGTAGAGTAGAGCAAACGAAGAGGCACTTAGATGAGTCTTACAGTGTCGCGGCTCAGCGAGCAGGTAATGGCAACCGTCTGCTGCAACTTTGGTGCTATCAGAAGTATGGGGACAATTGTATCTTCTCGGTTGCCCACATCGTGGAAGTATATTTTTTGGGACCTGAAAGGTAAACTGTATTTGTGGTAGTCTTAGTGACACCACAGAGACTAAGGAACGACTACTTAAAACTGGTCACACACAAGCCTCGCCAGAAGTTATGGATGTGTTAACTTCGTACTTGAAAAGTCTTATTGGCGGAGACGGAAATCCATGAGGTAAGGTCAGGTGTGAAAGTTTTAAGGTTGACCTCTTCAAGTCTCTTCGGTCGTGAGAGGGCATATTTGCTGCACATGCTGATTATCCAAGAGAACCTCCTTACTGCCATTTCACCCCTGTACCGTCATCAGTAGAACTTTGCCCCCAGAGTTTTCTGCTTTTAATTTTACCATTCTCCAACCTTGCTGTTTGGAGTGGTGGAACTCATAGGAACAGGTGTTTCAGCCAATACAGCTCAGTTGGATTATTACGATCTCCAAGCTCAACCATCACGGCAATGTAACAGTTACCGTTGTTTTCAACAACTAGGTCACAAGTTAAAGTTTGACTCATTTGGTTTGTTCGATTAGGTATTATCATTAACCGTCACACATTGTGCAGTTCAATGCCAAGTGCACGAATATGCACCCGGTATATAAGTTTAAAAAAGTTGTTGTTTGCTTGTTTTGTCTTGATCCACTCTCGGTTCACATGTTCCAAGTCCCTCCAAAGTTTTGTTTTTCTTGATATCTTAGGCATAAATCTTTAAATCAATTCTCTTTATTTTTCAGAAATATTACTTCGGTAGAACAAGTCAACAAATAGCACTTTGTAACTGCTATGATTCATGTTACAGAAGGCCCTTTGAATATAGACCTGTTGCGTGAAAGCTATCAGAACGAATTTTTCAGCTACGTCGATGCTCAACCTTCACCTAAGGTATAATGTTACGTAGATATTGTGTTTAATCTATTATAGGTTATATATTGGGAGAAAGATCTGCTAGCCCATATGAGTTCTGTAGTAAACAATTCGGATTTGAAAGTAATTTTGATAATGTTTATAATCTTTAAAAACGTTTAGAAACATGGTGTTATAAATTCATTTCTTCTCCAATCTGCCAAAGATTCCTATTCTCCTTCAGCGTGTAAATCTGTAATATTCATTATCAGTCCAAAAGTTAGTATTATTGACTCTGTACAATCATTTTTAGTAAGGTAAGTAGTGTTCTGTGATCTTTTTTAATTATTTTAAAAATAGAGATTCACAATCCAACCAAAGTGCTGGAAAGCAATATAGTATTATTGCCATTCCGAGGATTTCCCTTGCTTGTAAAAGTTTTTTAAAAGAAAAAAAGATGACCAATAAATTTGCCATGATATCTGAATTTCCTCTAACAATAGTACCTGTAGAATGTGATGTTCTCTCAATGGAAGATTCGCAATGTTTTGCTGTTTGTCTTTGTATTTCTTTTACCATATCCAATGATTATATTTTTCATCTAGAATTACTCCATTTCCGAACGTCAGGATGGTGTCTATCAATTTGTACAAGGTTTGATGCGATTTCAATCAATTTTTGGTCTGTTCCCAAAAATTTATGCTAAAGGTGAAAAGGCCATAGTAAGTGATTATTTATATAGAGTTTCATATGAAACTTAATGTGTTAGTATATCAATTTAATGTATGTGTATTAGGCAATTTTTCTGGTAAGCGTTTTTTAGCGAGGTAGTTTTCTACGAGGTGGGAACGCTAACCCCATGCCCAACCCTCCTCCTTTACCCGGGCTTGGGACCGGCAGTAACTCTAGAAGAGCTACAGGCGGATCGTCAAACTGCATCACGAGGCAAGCCCTAACTTGGAATCCTGAAGGGAAGCGGAAAAGAGGATGGCCAATGAACACATTACGTCGGATAATAGAAGCAGATATGAAAACGATGAATAACAACTGGAAGGAGCTGGAAAGGATTGCCCAGGACAGGGTTGGATGGAGAATGCTGGTGAGCGGTCTATTTTCCTTCACGAGGAGTAACAGGCGTATGTAAGTAAGTAAGTATTAGGCAATATACGGAGTTATATCTAATGGTATGCTTTTTGTAAAACTAATTGTACTGTTTTTTTGAATAGTGTAAACCTATTATAAAGTTCTGAAGTTGTAAAAATAATGACATTTCATATTTTAACACTTTGTTTGAAAAATGTCTTATTATCAGAGAAGGGTTTTTGTAGATATCTTATTAATTTGGTAGTTGAATTCATGAATCAATTGAAGTTAGATCACCATGAAAAATCTGGAAGCACTGGACAGCCGTTTCGTCGTAGTATGGGACTCTTCAGCAGTGCGCATCCAAGTTCCCGCCTCGTGAGATTCCAACACATGATCTATCGGTCTCACGCGCGAGCACTTGATCGCTAATTTGGTAGGTCCTGGGTTCGGATCTCGCGAGGTGTTACCATAGATGCGCACAGTTGAGGAGTCCCACACTAGAACGAAATGGCCGTCCAGTGCTTCCAGGTTTTCCATAGTGTTCTAGCTTTAATTGATTTATGAATTCAACTATTAAATGTTTTAATGTTATATACATCAAAATGTTTAAATATTTCTCACTGCTTTGTAGAATTCACAAACAATATCAGTAGTATGTAAAAATCTCAGCAAAATTAATAACTAAATAACCTTTTCTGATATATTCCAAGTTATAAATCGTATAGATACATTTACATCTATTTATATTTATTTCAAATACGTTCATTCTTTAGGGAGTGGCCAAAATGTTGCGGCGTATGTCTGATGAAGCCAAAGTTACAAATGAACATCAACCACCAGTCACTGCATTAGATGAAATTGAAAGCCAAACTGAATTATTAATTCTTATTGATCGAGCTGTTGATCCTTTAACTCCTTTGTTAAATCAGTTAACGTATGCAGGACTAGTTGATGAGAAATGGGGTATTCGTTTTGGTAAGCTTAAACGTTTCGTTTAATCAAATTACAGCTAAATTAAATAGTAATCTTTATGGTTGTAATTGAAGTGTATGAGTAACATCGTTGTGGTCACGAATTCGATTGTCATGACTAAACCTTCACTTTATTTAAGCAAATAGCACATAAATCACCTTTTGGGAAGTGCTAGTGACACAGTTTGATTCTAAGTAACATCATATAGTACGATAGTTTGTTAATGTTATGTTTTTATCTTTCACAACCAAACACCTGAAATTTCCATCACCCATTACTTGATGACTTACAATATTTCTGTTATCATAATGGTTGTATCTGCTATACTTCTCTGTAACCCGTTATTTTAGTAGCTTACTTTACACCACTTTCCGTAATACAACAGTTTTTATCTGTTGTTCTTTATTTCTGTAAATCTTGTTGAACATTTCCATCATATTATTACATCTCAGAACTAACTCTTAACATATGATTTAGTATTACCATAAACGGAATAGAGGTCAGCAACATAATAACAGGACAAGCTAAGCTATTCCTCTGCACGCTAGCCCCGTTAACCAACGGAAGAAGACCTGATTCAGGCGAGAAAACATATAATTCTACAATCAGCGCAGAAGGAAAAATAAACAAACACACAACTCATATATGTGTATGTACAATACAAAAATGTCATAAAATAACGTACTAAAAGAAACAATGAAGCAATAATATTTTAGGTCCTTCTAAGTGGGAAGCACAAACTGAAAGTAAAACTGGTCGCTTTTGGCACGAAAGTGTGACATTCAAATCGATTATAGACTACTAAAAACATTCGTAAAAACCCTTTTGAACAATTACACTTTAAATGTGTATTAAGCGTAAATTTGTTTCGATATTGCATAATTAGTACTAGAAATTGTAACTAAACAGTGCTATTATCATTATTATTACTATAGTCACAGTAATTAAATTTTCATGTAATTAGATAATCAATAGTTTATAATTTGGTGTCACATTTGATTAGTAAATAGCTATTCTGTTTTCACTGATACTTCTAAATAGTTAGCTGTTAAATTCATTTGGTGTTGTTTTACTTGAATCTTTCCATTGATGTTTAGGACTGCAATTGATCAGTCTGTTGTTGGCATATGTGCATATTGTGCGTATTGCATCAATATTAACTTAAGTCACATGCTTTTTAAGCAAAGATGGATAGTGGCTAACAGTGGAACCCAGGACGCGCGACACTTCGTCCTATTTGGGACTCGTTAGCTGGATGTACCTGCATCCCAGAGTTGATGCTCACTCCGGGACTCGAACCGAGTACCGTTCACTTACAGAACCATCGCATTATCCACTTAGCTACTGAGTCCTAAATAACAACCGAAATATATAAGTAAAACAACACCAAGTGAATTTAAACTTCACCCCATTTCACATGCAGGTGTTCATCAAGACTCACTAACTAAGTGGATAACGCGATGGCGTTTGAAGCGAACGGTATTGGGTTCGAATCCCGGAGTGAACAGCAACGCTGAGATGCAGGGTATATCCAGTTGATGTGTTCCAAATATGACGAAACGTCCAGCGTTCTGGATTCCACTGCTAGCCACTATCTATCTTTGCTTAAAAAGATTTTTAGCAGATCACGGATGCGCTTCTCTGTTATAATCCTGTTTTCTTACGGTTATGACCCAGCTATTCCTATTGCTTAGTATTCTCGGACACCGATTCACTCGACAAGTCCCCAAATCAAAACACGGTTGAACAGGAAAGAGATTATATTCCAAATAGCAAGTCAGAAGCACAATAGAGAAAAACGTCAGTATATTTATAGTTTTCTACATGAGAAGATTCTAGAGTGTTCTCCAACTATCGACTAGTGCTGATTGGTTAAGAATTAGCCAATCAGTGTGCACCAAAGCAATCGTGAATTGAGCATGCTTTAATCTAGTCTATGTCCCGCTAACACCTCCCCTTTGAGCAGATTCGTAGGATCTGGTGCTAGGGTCCAACTGCAACCGAGTGACTGGCCTTTGCTTTCGATTAGTCCATCGTCTAGGCAATAGAGAAGTATCACTCTTTTCTTGCACAGAAACTGACGTGTCTATTCCCGGCGTTTTGATTTCAAAGGTGTCTAGCAGAACATCAAGAGGTAATCGATATTGAATCTTGTTACTGGCTATCGAAGTTGCTTTCAATTGGTTAGCATGACGTACCCAAACTTCCGAGCCAACTGACACCTCGTAAACCACACTCCCCTTCTTTCTCAAGATCCGACCAGCTGTCCATGTAGGATGTTTCCCACGATAGTCCATAGCAAGCACTTTTTGTCCCACCGTGAACAATCGTCTTTGTGCCCCATGATGTCGGTTGAACTGATTCTCCATCGATAGGTTTCGTTGGGGTTCAATAGCTGGCGTAGGATGGATGACATCGAAATGTGTTCGTATTTTTCTTTTCGGTTTTCCTAGTAACCTATCACCTGTCTTCTTTGGAAGTAATGGGGTGTCCAATGATGAACACGATACGTTACAGACACTGTTAATTGGTACATCCATTATTCCAAGTTTGTCTAACATATCTAGACCAAGAAGATCAAGGTTCGGCCGTTCTGTTAGGTAACATATTCCTGTACAGTTAGTTCCATTGAAGGAAAATTCACACTGTAATTCACCAACCAGTTTTAGCACACCACCTGATGCGTTTTTAGCCGTTTTCTTAGATGGCTTCATTGGCGGTTTACCCAGCAAGTTATACGTTTCTCTAGACACTAACGTGATATCTGATGCCGTGTCAATTTGAAGACGAGCTGATATGCCGTTTATCTGGATGGTAACATACTTTCTCCGAATGTCATAGTTTCTTTGAAAAGCAGCTACCAGAGAAAGAGATTTAGACTCGGCTGATTTCACATGTCGAGGGCGTTTATGCTTCTTCTTAGGCTGAGACGTACGCTTCGGTGGACAATGACCTTCTTTATGTCCACGTTTGTTGCACTCCTGACATTTATGCTTCTTGAATGGACAGAATCGTGGATAATGCCAATCACTGCATAACCAGCATGCAGTCCTTGGTTTGTTACGAGTTGTTACCGGCTTCTGAACTTTTAGCCTAGTAATAGTATTTACACTACCGCAGGTTAAATTAGGATTTACCTGTTCAATCAACTCGTTGTCGTGTCTGATGCTTTGTAGACGCTTACACTCATCTGTCAATGTTCTGAGTGTGACGTTTGGGTCTTGATCCAGTCGAGCCAAAAGTCTAGTCCTGATCTCAGCATCTTGTGGTGACTGAAGAGCTTTGATGAATATTAAGCATTTAAATTGGTCATCAGTCAACGAGCGTAACTTGAAACGTTCACATTCTCTGTTGACAATGTCTGCTAGAACACCATATTCATCAGCTTCGCGTTTCACCAAATTTAGACACCGATATCGAATACTAAACAACGAGGATGACTCGCCGAATATCTCTGACAGCTGAAATACCGTCTCCTCGAAACTGAGCTCTCGAGGTAACTTTGGCAATATATGGTCAGCAAAACGTGCATGTTCGTTGCTTCCCAACTTACGTACCAACAATCGGATCTTCCACGCATCGTCTTGATTACAGAATTCTGTTCTAAATGTATCTTCCCAACGTCTGAACCACGTGAGAAAAGTATTTCCATTTTCGGGATCATAGATGAATTCTGGGATGCTGCTAGCAACTGCATCACAAGACGAACTTGAAATAGCGTGTGAACTCGAGCTGTGGATGTTGAGCTGTTGAGTCAGAGTCTCCAACAACCGCATTTGTGCATCAAGTTGTGCTTGCTGTTGTTGTAGTATTCGGTTAAGCTGGTCATCTGATATAGGCATCTTGAATTTGTTTTCCTTTTTCCCCGTCGCCACTGTTATAATCCTGTTTTCTTACGGTAATGACCCAGCTATTCCTATTGCTTAGTATTCTCGGACACCGATTCACTCGACAAGTCCCCAAATCAAAACACGGTTGAACAGGAAAGAGATTATATTCCAAATAGCAAGTCAGAAGCACAATAGAGAAAAACGTCAGTATATTTATAGTTTTCTACATGAGAAGATTCTAGAGTGTTCTCCAACTATCGACTAGTGCTGATTGGTTAAGAATTAGCCAATCAGTGTGCACCAAAGCAATCGTGAATTGAGCATGCTTTAATCTAGTCTATGTCCCGCTAACATTCTCCCCCTCTAAATGCAAGTTGTTACTTCAGGACTGGCCTGCGTCAAACCTGAACTAAGGACAGAGAGTGAAGTAGTCGAATGCGTTGACAACACTTATCTTAAAAGTCTGATTCTGACCTTTGCTGCTACCTTGACGCGGCGGTCGGGCTTGCCCACCGTGATAAAGCAACCGAGCTATACTGGATGGAACAACCGTTCCTCAAGGTCCTACCATGCCAAAATGGTCGGTTAAAGAACGGTAAGACTAAAAGCAGCAAACTCAAGGTCCGAAAGCGAAGTCGTACTGCTGACTGTACAGAGGTGTGACAGCAGTAAGGTGTTTCCTTCAGACAACCAGCATGACAGCGATGCTGCCTTCCCACATGGAGGGGTGGGGTTAGAAATTGTCGACCCTAAAAATGCACACCTCGCCTTATCGCACGGATATCCGTCTCCGGCGGTAAGGTCTCAACAAGTACGGCGCTAACAAGAAAACTACTCACAAAAAGGTCGTGTGTGACCGACCTCAAGCAGTTGTCCCTTAGGCACTGCGGTCACTCTCTCAGGTCACTAAGACCACCTCTAATCCAACTTCCTTTTCAGGTACCTTTAGAAGAACCCTTCCACGGTAATAATAGTAACTCATTATTGTTTGTAATTATTAATGTTGTAAAAATGACTTTTTAATAAGCAGAAAGATAATAAAGATCTGTTTATATTAGGATTTTTCTCTTATTTATGTGATTTTTATTATCAGAATGGGTTTTGTGGAGATTTTTAGAAATTTCACTGGTTGAAATCATGAGTCAATTGAAGCTAGACCACCATGAGAAACCTGGAAGCACTGGATGGCCGTTTCGTCCTAGTATAGGACTCCTCAGCAGTGCGCATCCACGATCCCGCCTCCCGCGACGTTCGAACCCAGGACTTATCAGTCTCGCGCCAAGTGCTTAACCAACTAGACCACTGAGCCGGCCGGCATCCAACGGTGTTAATGTCTAACTTCAACCAATTCACGAAGTTGCGTCACCGTACATCATTGTCTTCAGTGAGTTCGTATCTCACAACAGACCTGGTTGAACTCTACTGGTAACAACTTCTCACTAAAACTCCAGGAGTATCTCTTGAAGTCAGTCACTAGTGAGCAGATGATTATTATCAGAATGGGTTTTGTGACGATTTTTGGAAATTTCACTGGTTGAAATCATGAGTCAATTAAAGCTAGACCACCATGGAAAACCTGGAAGCACTGATTTGATTTTTGTTATCCTAATTAGATTTTTCTTTATTCAATTAGAATTGTTAATATATTTTTTTCTATTTTTATAGGTATTTGTCGACCATGTTTTCAAGCTGAAAATGAATCTTCCAAAAAATTCTTATTAAATTCTTCAGATTTAGTATATACTGAAATAAGAGATCGAAAATTTTCTGAAGTTGGTTTAATTCTATCAAAAATTACTAAAGAAATTTCTACACTTGTTACCGTAAGTTATATAAATGTAGTTTTCTTATTTCGAGAACTGATAAATTAGATCAGATGATATGTGATCTAGCAACTTGATTTAAGATCTCTGAATGTAATTAGGAACAAAGATAACGCATAAATGTAGACTTAGAAATGTCTTCATAAGAATCATGAGCAACTATGCGCGACTGGAAAAAAAAATGCTTGGAACACTAAATAATGATTCAACTGACCTGCGGTTATTTTATAGTTACTGGCTGTTAATCCAAAAGCCTAAATGGATTATTGACAGCTCTTAGATTGTAAAGACTATAACTAACCTGAAGCAATGACATGTAGGGCAAGCCAACCTTAAAAATGATAGTCTAGAGTGTTTATTAAAACTAGTTATCAAATTATGTATATCCAAGGCGTTCCGTATAATGCACTTTGATCTCATTTTCCCAGTTTTCTTGTAAAGCCACTGTTATATGCTAACCATTGGTTATTATTATGAAACAATATATCAACATCGGAGCTAACTTTTCGTTGGCGAAAATCGTGGTTTAATTTTCGCACTTTAATAACAAATTACGGCCTAATGTACTCATCTTTGACTAACACCTTATACAGGAGAGTTAATGATACTAGGTTTTTGCCCAAACTAAAGTCTCTGAAACATAGGCCCTAATCAGCAACGTGGTAATTGAGAGTAGAGGACTTGAACCAATAGACTAACGTTACACAAATAAAGCTCTTTAAATTCAAATAATTCATTGCTGTGTACACAAATTCACGGCTACTATTTACATACTAAGATGATGAAGAAGATTTGTAGCTGAGGTGGATGATCTCGGTGGATTTTTAATCTCTGAGCTGAATGGTTTGATCGTGGAGCTTTCATCCTTATTCTGAACGACATCATGACAAAATGAAGTATTGGAATTTCTCCACATACGACTCACAGTTTGTCTTGTCAACCTTGATCTTGACTGGCTATTGTTGACCTTTAACGTGTTACTGTTGACTTCTTTATTTTGATTGTATCTCCCATTGATTTGATTCTTGGTCCTATATTTGTCCATGATTTTTTTGATTGGTTGATAGATTGGATCGATTTCAATGTGTTTGTTGATTGCCGATTGACCTGAGTGCCAAGTCTCTAAAAATTCGCTGATGTTTTTAGAAATCCTTCTATTCAAGATCTCAACATTTTACCAGTCGAGCGTATATCCACATTTGTCCACATATGCATTGATATAGGTGAGTATACGTCATGGCGTTTGATCGCTAATTGGTGTTCGTGCAGGCGGAGGTGAAGAGGGCGTCCACTTTGTCCGATGTAGTGTTTTTCGCAGTTGGGGCAATTTATTTTGTAGATGATGTTCTGTTTTCTTTTGCCATTTCGTCCTTTGGTTTGCATAGGATTGATTGAAGTGATTGTGTTACACCTATTCCAAAAGGCTTCAATAATCTCGTAATTTCTTATGTCTTTTATATATGGTTGAATGATCCGTTTGTTAGTTTCTGTACTTGATTTTGTTTCTGCTGATGCATTTGGTTGATATTTTTCGGTGAAGTTGACTGCGTCGTTGATGAGGAGCGGGGATAGAGTTTTCTTTGATAAGCTTGGTTCAGTTGAGATGAATAAGGCTGTCACATCGAAGGATGTTATCATTTCGTCGTTGTTGATTTGAATGTCCTTAATCTTATTCATTAATTGTACGGGAGATTTGATGGAGTGATTAGATGAATCCACTAAGTATTTCAATATTCGTGAAATTTTTCTTGACTAATTGTATGTTCCGGGGAGTGCCACAATTGGACGTAGTGAGATGTTTGGTTTGCGTATTTTCCGTCTACCGCAGAATCGAGGGAGTAGTGGTCCATTAAGTTTCATTCTTCATTGATCTTGCCTTGATATTTGTCCTGCTTTGACAAGCTTGTTCAAAGTCCTTGAGATTTAGTTGTCTGACCTTTTGACTGGATTTGTGTTCATTGGTTTGTATACGCTTTCATCCTTAAGTAGTTCCTCAGTTTTCCTGATATATTGTTCCTTGTTCATAATCACTAGTGCATCTTTTGCCTACTGGAACTATGACAATATCTTCTCTAGTTCTGAGTTTTTTCTAAGGCTTTTTGTTCTTGTGAGGTCAGTTGAGTGTTGTCTTTCTTCCATGGAGTTAGCGGTACTATAGTTCGTCTTATTTCCTGTTGCGTTTCTTCACTTATTCCGTCAGTTTTGAGTGATGACTCTAGTGCTGTGAGAAATTCTAGTTCTGAGGTATCGCTTGTGTTGTGGTTCAATTCGTTTCAGAGCAGGTGTTCTATGTTTTTCAGAGGTCGCTTTAACAGTTTGACCGTGCATTTGTATTTTCTTCCGTGGGTGGTTTTGAAATATTGATTAGTCTTTTATTTTTTCTCTGTTCTCTCTTACACTTGTCGGCAGAACGTGCTGACGAAGACACTTTCGGACAAAAGACAGTTTTTCTCGGGTGGAAGCCATTATTTTGGCGAAATTTCCTCACTTTCGAACAACAAGAAGTGTTTAAGATACAGAGCTCCAATCAACTCCCCAATGAAATGTAGAATAGCTGAGCAAAGTAGAAGAAAAATGGTACACCTAACGATAACTGATGCACACTACAGGATCCACAAATACCAACCCGTCACTGATGACAACAGCCATCGAGCTATCATGCAAATGATATAGATTCGTTTTTTCTTTGCTCTCTGTTCGAACACTTCACTTCTGCCTGAAGTTTGTGATGATGTCGTTCGGAATAACGATGAAAGCTCCACGACCAAACCATCCAGCTCAGAGATTAAAAAACCACCACTATATACACACTTTTTTGTAGATGAATTTATTGATCTCGTCAACGTTGAAGATTATTTTTTCGTTGTACGTATGATCTTTAGTGAAATGTTAGCATGATGTATATGGGACACAAGAAGATGTAGCAACCAAATTAATCTCATTAAGTTTTTTGTGTACAGTGAATAATTGACTAAAACTGTCAGGTGTGTATTGTGTTATGTTTCTTCCATTTTATCAGTGGTTAATTGCAGAATTCTTCTGTTTTATATACACATTTCAAGCAATCCAAGTCAGCCAAAGAACTAACCGATTTACGCGTTGCCGTTAGTCGAATTCCCGAAATTCGCTCAAAACAATCACAGCTGGAGATACGTAGGTCCTTTTTTTCAGAATACTACTGTTTTTTAAACAGTCGACCTAGCGATTTCTCTCAACATCTTTTGGAGGTCAGTTTTAATCATGGACCAACGTCACTTTGAAAATTTTCTTAAAATTTAGTAGCACTGAATAACCGTTTTGCTCTAGTTTGTGACTCCTCGTCAATGCTCTTTTACATTTCTTTACCTCACATAGTACCTTGGACCTTTGGGTCCATCGGTAAACACAATACTTATATACTACAAAGTCGGATTCTAAACGGTCTTTATTTTCAACTTCGGTAAGTTTGCGATAATAAAACCATCATCTAGTAAGGCGGCAGAACCCCAAAAATAACATTTTCACTGTTAGACTAAACTATCTCGTATTTCTTGGTT